CAGTCGCTTAACCGACTGAGCCACCCAGGCGCCCAGGCTAAATTCATTTATACATGTAGGTTCTATAGCACAAATCATAACTTATTGATACTTACATATTTAGCACATTTAGAATTTTTTTTTCCTCAAAGAAGCCTCTAAAACTGTACATCAGAGTCCTCAATTAGTCCAAAGAGATTCTGATTAAAAATGTTGTGAAAAAAGAACTTTGCACATATAACTCTTCTAAGAAAACATGGAAATATTTTCAAAAATTAAAAAAGTATATAAGAATGTTTATTCTATTTCAAAGTTTGTTTTGTAATGTATTATAAATAAAGTTCACATATCAGGGAGGAGACTTACAAGACTGGTTTTAACTACTTGATCAAAGAATGCCCAACACCAAAGTGGCGCACGTGTTTTTCAAACAACTTTATATTTGCATGGATTATAGAAGTGCTTCCAAATATTATCATCTTACTGAGAAGTAGCTTTAGAATTGTTTTAATGGGTCTTTCCAACCCCCCTTTGGCAAATAGGTTTCTTTAGAAAGTATTTTACTTTTTATGTCATAGCATCTAGTTCACTATAGCTTTAATTCAGCTGTACATCGTTTATAAAACAATCTACATTTACAACACTACATCCAAATGTAGTTTCACATGTGTTCCCTCATTTTGTCTTCACTTCTTTGTGAACTAGGTAGGACGAGTTTTATAATTCCCATTTTCCTAATGAGCAAAGCTAAGAATGTGGAGATTAAGTGACATCCCTGAAGGGACAGAGGCTTTTGTGTAGCTGGACCTATTTCTGATTCTGCCCTCCCCCACTGGATAGTGTACTATCTTTCTTTTTCTACTGTTCCACATCAGGATGTTCAAAAGTGGTCTAAAATTTTATATTTGTGCTTTTCTTTCACGGTTTGAGAAGCGGTTCTGTCATGGTTCATATTTCAAACATAAAGTCTAAGTAGGAGCCTAAAATTTGATCTTTCTCCCATGTGTTGTTTATCACTTGTGTCACAGTCTTGAGTGTCTTTTGCATTAATAATCCTGGAGATGGACACTAAAGGTGAGTAACCTTAGAGTCCATAGGCCTTAAGTAAATACTGGATGATCAATCTAAGTAATACTTTGCTGAAGATCTGCTAAAATAGTCATTTTATAAATGGAGCATGATGTGCTTTAGAATAGGGGTCACTGACTGGGTGTTCACAATCCCTGATCTTCCCGGTTAACAGTCTCTTGTTTGCATACCCAGGCCAAGCTCCACTGTGTTAGGAATAAGCACATCTGAAGGGCTGATGGGCATACTGAGGCCACTAAATGATGGAGCACTTCCCTTCTAACATGGTTTAAGAACCATAGTGATGGAGCTTGCTGCACATGGAACGTTAAGTCAGTCTCCCCTCGCCTCCCTCATCACCTCCTCATACAGAAATCTTAAGGTTCTTAAGGTTTTTTTCCAGATTGAACATGATTCTGAACCATCAAAGCCCCTTTCTCAGAGAAGTAAATTGTGTCACAGCAAAAAGGCTGGGGAGCTATACCTAAGTGGTAGGTTAAAAAGGAAAGAAAATGTCTTCTGGAGTATACTTACTTTCCTTACATGGGACAATAGTGAGATCAGTATTCTGAATGAAGGGGTAGGCACTGCTGTTATGGGAAGAGCCACTGTTTGGGAGCCAGAAAACCTCAATTCTAGACATGATCATCTTTGTGACTTTTTAGCCAAGTCACTTTGTCTTTCTCAAGTTCAGTCAGTACCTCTGATGAGGATAAGGATGAGTCTGGTGAAACCTACTTTCTTTTCTTATGGTGAGGTAGTATTAATAATCAGCATAGGAGTTCTTGGGAAATGTGGGTGGCTCAGTCGGTTAAGCATCTGCCTTCGGCTCAGAACATGAACCCAGGGCCTGGGTTTCCAGCCCCGCAACTTCACATCAGGCTCCTTGCTCAGCGGGGAGCCTGCTTCTCTCCCTGCTGCTCCCCCTGCTTGTGTGCAAGCTCACACACTCTCTCTCTCTCTCTCTGACAAATAAATAAATAAAATCTTAAAATAGGACATTTTTAGAAAGACTTAGGTTCTCATTAGGTATTTTGCCTGCCATTAATGAGGGGTCTTTGTTAAGCTGTTTTGCCTTTCTTGGGTTTCTCTTCAGCTGTCTACAGTCTACTCTATAGATTTTATAGGACAAATGATTGAATTAGATGTCCATTCTCTCCTGCCAGTGTATCACATGGTGTTTAGAGTTGTATTAAGTCCTTTTGTGTTCACCATCAGTTTTATTTTAGGCCCAGGTGCCTTTCTCCTAAATTTAGGGCACTTGAACCGTTATCGGAGTAGCTGTTGAGATCACCTAAAAACACCTAAGCTGCACCATCTAACTCTCTGAGACAAATTATATATCCTCCCACTTAAACATAGACCTCGCATTTTTAAAAGTATTGTCTCACATGTTCATTTAGGTTGAGCCTCACAACTAAGGCTGTTAGCCCCACTTTTATGAATGAGGAAGCTTAGAGAAGTGAAGGTGATAAGGCTGATCACCGGTCGAGGAAGGCGAGGACCCCCGGGTCCCCTCACTCCCAGTGCAAGTCTCTCTGCCATCCTGTGTAGACAGCCTTTTCTCCTGATGGAGAGAAGGAGACGTGCCGGGACGGACAGGCCCCGTGTGGTACGGAGCGGAAGCCCAGCTGATGGAGGACTTTTTAAATGTCATATTACACACCACCTATTTCTTTGGCATCTGTGCGTTCTAAAGCAACTTTTCAAAATAAAATACTATCATTTACAACTGCCCACAAACTGGAAGCAGCAGAAGCCGCTGTCACTAGGAGGAGCCATGTTTAACTGCATCGTCTTCTGGTAATTTTTTAATAAAAAACCTTTTTAGTACCATTTTATCACTTGTCATCATCCTCCTGTGTTTTCTCTTTTAATTCTGGTTTTACTCAGAATTACTGCCAAAATATAATTAATATATTTAAAGCATAGATGCATATTTGCTTTCTCTATTTTTTTAAATAACAAATGTGATTATGTTTCCAGTTCCATAAAAAAAAAACATGGTATTTATTTTAAACGTCTTCCAATGAAATAAAATGAAGTGTGTTAACATTTTTCCATATTCCTCGCAGACCTACACACATACATTCAAACCCAAACCCACACTGAATTTAGGACTTAAGCTTCAGACTCTTTTCTTATTTCTACAGTCTACTCAGCTCAGAGAGGCCTCCCATTTAACATCATGAAGTGCCGGTCTAGTATTATAGTAAGGAGTCATGAGTCATCAGACAGTTGACAGAATTGTATGTTAGAAATGGCAAGAGGGCCACCTGGGTGGCTCAGTCAGTTGGGCTTCTGCCTTTGGCTCAGGGCATGATCCCGGGGTCCTGGGATGGAGTCCCTCATTGGGCTCCCTGCTCAGTGGGGAGTCTGCTTCTCCTTTTCCCTCTGCCGCTTCTCCTGCTCAGGCTCTCTCTCTCAAATAAATAAATGAAATCTTAAAAAAAAAAAAAAGAAGTGGCAAGAAAGTTAGGTGTGGATTTCAATTCTGAAAGTTGCTCGCGGCATATGACCTGCCCAAATGGGGATGTTAATACTGACTCCTTATTAGGAGGCTTACATGACCCAGGTAGTGCTCTTTTGGGCACCTGGCTTGTCATAGACATATAAATGTTTGCTGACTCTGACTTCCAATCCCTTTGTTTCATGAGCTTATTACAGTTTTGTGAGATTTCAGTTGTATAACCAGTAATAATTTGAAAGAATGCAGAGCAAAATGTTTCTACTTTTTTTTTTTTTTCTTAGTGCTTTTGGGCAATTCACATGCCTATGCCAGCCCCAAGAGACTGTGATACTATCCACTATCCAAATATATGAATAAGATGATAGAGAATGGTAACAGGCTGTCCCATATGCAGACTCCTACAGGGTGTCTGCCCAAGCAGACACAGGGTCTCCTCGCCAGCACAAGGAAGGGCCCTCTCCAGATTTTAAGAAACTGTTGACTTCAGCATGTATTTTTCATTTTTTAATCTGCTACTTCATTTATGGGGATGTCTTTTTTTCAGTCACCATGTTAAATAAAGGCTAGCAGTGGATTTCACTCATGGAAGAGTCGGTATATTGACTGGTGGTGGCAGAGTCCTGGAGGGAACCTGCATGCTCACCAGCAGGAACCGTTTCAATGGGTTGTGACATATCCATGTAGTGCATTACTCTATGGCCATTGAAAAGATTCGTATGTACTGACCTGGAATGCTTTGGGAGTTGTTGCTAGGGAAAAGATAAGCTTTGTATGGCACCTACTTGAGAACAGAGAGGTGTGGTGAGGACACCCCTTCTGGGAGCAGAGTGTTCCCTTTCCCTGGACTCTAGTGATCAGGCCTCTTTGGGAATATAGGTCAGTCTGTCTTGATTATCAGCCTCACACACCTTTGTCAGTTTGAGAGCTGTTTTTTGTTGTTGTTGTTGTTTTGTTTTTTTTTAATAACCCATGGCATACAGTATTATCTGTGTGCAAACACTGCAAAAAGAACTTCAGGTTAGTGTTTTTTTGTTGTGCTTTGTCTGAGAAAAAGTCCTGGCCGTTGGCCATTGGCCATACAATCATATTTTTTTGCAATTGTCCTTTCTCCCTTCATACATTTCAAGGTCTTGGAGGCCAGGGCTTCCGACCTAGTGCCCAGCACACTGTCTAGCATACAGTAGGCCCTTAATAAATATGAAGAAACTTTGTTTTCTCTTCCTGGCTAAAGGAAGCAATTACAGTTCCAAGCAATATGCCTCAATTCTGACCTTGATTGTTAACCATCCGTAAATGTGATGCTTTTTGCCTCTACCCATGATTTATAGAGAGCATTCTTCCTTTGCCTTTCCTAATCATGCCAGCCTCATGTCCTGTTCAGGGCTTTGAAGAATCTGACTTGAGCAAGTGGAGAGATTAGGGAGGTGGCATTTGAAAGGAGAACAGCCAGTTCCCCGGAGAGTTTCATTGATCCCAACGTATCAGCCCTGCAAGCTCTCTTGCCTTGGCTTCAGAGGCGAGCTGAGATGCATGCCTGTGGCCCACCCTCCCTGTCATCAGGTTACCTGAAATGTAAGACTTCCAGAATAAGGCTGCCAGCTCTGCAGAAATCTAATGCAAGCCAGCCCATTGCGTGGCCCTCTGGAATCTCGGGACTCTTAAGAATAGCCCATCAAAGGACATGATGTACAGACAAACTTTTTCATGGTGAATATGATTTATCAACTTCTTTTCACAAAGGAAACACTTTTGTCCTCAACATTTGAGCTTTAATTGGGGCTTGAGCTGATCTCACATTTGAGTAGCTGTTAGATTTTATTGCTGAGAGACAGGAGAGAAGTCCGCAGACTTGGCTCCTGCCAGTGATACATTTGTTACACATAACAAGGTTATTTTCACTTCCTGACATAGCTGTCCTGTAAATCTCTTGAGATACATATAGGAATGCCTTTTTGTGCCCCTCTCATGAGGAAGAAAACAATAACACTGAGCACATTCACCTGTTAGCCAAGCTATTTCTTAGTTCACCAAGCATTGAGGAAGAATCTCCTAAATAAAGTGCTTAAAGATTCTTGGCGATGGTTCATGTTACTTAGTTAACCCTTGATTGGAATTAAAAATGAATTTCCATTGCAAGACATGATGCAGGGCTATTGTCCCCAGGGCAGAGCAGAATAACTTCATCATCATGTTTACCCTAATTTGTTTAGATTGACTCTAGGTCAATGTATTTGTGATAGGCCAGTTTCACCTAATGTTTATGCACCTCCCACACTATTCTGAGTGATTTGTTTGAATGCACGATAGAGTTTTTATTTAAAAATAAAAATTTGGGGGGCACCTGGGTGGCTCAGTCGGTTAAGCATCTGCCTTCTGCTCAGGTCATGATCCCAGGGTTCTGGGATCAAGTCCCGCATCGGGCTCCCTGCTCAGCAGGGAGCCTGCTTCTCCCTCTGCCTGCCGCTCCCCCTGCTTATGCTCTCTCTCTCTCAAAATAAAGACATAAATATTAAAAAAAATAAACATTCTGACACTGATTTATTGTATCTAATATGATGAGAACTACCACTTATTAAAATAAATAAATAGCATATTTAAATAAAGCTGGCATTTCTTTTTTCCACTACAAAGTTTTCTTTTTTTCTCCTTGTTCTTTCTCCTGATCCTCCTCTTCCTCCGTCCTTTCCTCCCTTTCTTCCCTTCCTCCTCCTTTTTCTCCTTCACTATGTTATTAGTGGTGGTCATTTTTTGTTTTGGCTTTGTAGATATTACCAGCCACTCAGTACCTTGTTTTTTTTCACTGGAGCTTTGCTTTCCTGGAATGGTGGATTAATATTGGGAAGATCATGATATAAATCCATCACCATGGGTGTTTTCATCAAGAATGGGAATCGGATCATCAGGCCCTTTTGGTTTAACAAATCATTTTGACTAGAAATGGGCTACCTGAGAGGTGGCAAACCAAATATCAGTGGGAATCAAGTGATGAGAACGGGGATAGCAGCAAGATGAGATCGTGTG